CATTTAAGGACCCCAAGTTCGAGAAGGCTCTCATCACGAAAGAGGCCAGCCCTGTAACGACTTACTTGGTGCTGCAAAACTTCTTTGAAAATTACGACTTTTCCCTTGCCACAATCTTGGGTATCACTTCCAACCTCCATATCATTCGTGCTGTAGCACCTCAGTTTGAGCTGCTCAGAGCCGTCTCGTTGGAGCAATTGACGGATGCGATAGATAAATTGGCAGAAAAGTCAAGCCCATTGATCTTGGAGGATGCTGCAAAGGTCCATGAAGCTCTTGTGTCCTTCACTCGTCTTTCTAATACAGGCTTTTTGATTTTCGAAAAGCTTTTGCTGAACCCCCAGTGGATTGTTGCATGGCAGCGTCATGTCCTTTTCACGGGTACTTCCTACCCAGACGAATCTTTGACAGTTGTTGATCTCAAGGGCGAGATTGCAGCTCTCAAAGAAATCAAACCAAAGGTCGTTAGCATTGACGTCATGCAGATCCTGGGCAAATGTCTCAGTGATTTCAAGAAAGAGCTTGCAGAGTTTAAGCAAAAGGACTTGCGGAACTTCAAGTATGCCGACATTGGCTTCCAAAAGCTTTTGAAGTACATCAATAACGCTGTTGCTCATGCTATCTCTAGAAATGAGCATTGTGCTGGCTCCGCTGTGACTTTGAAGAACGCTGGATTGTATGGTCAGCTTAATGAGCTCTTGGCCGCTAACATCGAGCCCAATAATGCAAAGACCGATTTCTTGGACGAACTTGCGGACAATTCAGCTGCGCCTGCTAAGAAGGGCTACCAACAGATTCCTGAAGAGCTCAAGATCCACAGCTTTGTGAAGGAACTTGAAATCTTGAGAAACGATGAACTCAAGAAGTCATTCAAAAACAGCACTCCAGAAGAGATTGTCGGTTTGGTTGACCGTAGGTGTACCGAGTTCTCGCAGAACCTCGAGAATCTGAACCCAGCATCTAGAATGTCTAAATCGAACTGGGCTGTTTTCATGAAGATGGGTGGTCGCTTAAAGAGACTTTTTGCCATCAACAATGGCAACACTGAGATCTTGGATGCGGTGATCAACTCTCAATCTGCATTGGACAAACTTGAAGCTAAACTTGCTCAAAAGAAAGCCCAGCAAGATGCTGAGAAAGCAGCCACTCCAGAGAACACTTTATACGCACCTGGTCCTTACGTTCAAATCCCAGAGAAGTTAGGCTTGCATGATTTTGTTGAGCACCTTTCAATATTCAGAGATGAGCTTCAGAAGCCCTACAAAGATGCCTCTGCAACTGAGGTGCTTGACTTGATGGAAAAGAAAACCAAGGAGGTCTACAATGGAGCTAACTCGGCATCGCTGAAAATCAACACAGACAACTTAGTCTCGTTCATCAAGCTTCACGCCAAATTGAAAAAGCTCTTAGCATGGAATGGTGGAAACACTGCAATTTTGGACACCCTTATCTATTCACAAAAAGTATTTGACAACTTCGAGGCCAAGATAACTTCGAAGTCTAAGCCTGCCACTAAATTGTCCAGTGTCGAGGTTTCGTCATACAAGCAGATCCCAGATGATGTCTTGCTTGAGGAGTACGCTGAGGAGCTTGAGCAATTGAAGGCTAATCTCGGCTCCAACTTTGGCGATCATACTGCCTATCAAGTGCACAGAGAGTTGGACAAGATGATAAACTCCGAGGAAGACCCTGAAAGACGCTTGACCCTTGGAAAGCTTCAAAGAAACATCAGAATGCTTTTGAAGCACAACGGCGGTCTGACTTTTGCTTTGGACACGGTCTTGATCAGCAGAAAGGTGTTTGACAACATGAAGAACAAAATTGCCTCAGCAGAAGCCACTGGAAACAAGTTCATCATGTCTGATTTTCTTGAGAAGACGACTTCATCCAAGCCAAAGAGAAACATCAAATACAATGATGCAAATGAGGTGTTGGCTTTGCTCAACAGCAACACTTCTGCAGCTGATGTTGGTGTGGACAATCCCAAGGTTGAGGCGTCGATCCGTGATGCCCTTGCCTCGGCTATGAGTCAAGAGGAAAGTAACTTGAAGAAAGAAAATCCCGAGGAGTATGCTGCTATCAACTCTTTGACCGCTCAGAAGATCAGAGATGCTTACACCAACAAGTCCAATTCGACGAAGCCTATCGACAAGGAATCATTGGAGAACTTCCTCAAGTCGTCTAAGGAAGCCAAAGACATAAACGAGGAGAACAAATTCCGTGAACAAAATGCCTACGAGTGGAGCAAAAGCAAGTGCCTGAGCAACCGTACCTTGGAGTCTAAAAACTTCTTTAACCCCATGCAAAACGCAAAGGGCGTTGCCATGGAGTACCTTGTGTTAACGCCCACGGGCGAGACAATCTATTCTCGCGAGAATCCTCTTGGAGCCAAACATGTTCCTGAAGAGATGGTCACTGTCTTGAATAGGGTTTCCCCATCTGTGCTCGGTAAGGTGTCCAAGAAGATCAACAAGCTCCAGAAGAAAAACTGGAGAGTGATTGGTGGAGGTGACAACGACCGTCTCGTGGTTGTAAGCAGGCCATTGGCAGCCAAGGGTGCCAAGGTGTGGAAATTGATCCGCACCATCTTCACCACCACCGGTATGGTGTTTGTGGTGATGTTAGGCCTTCATGTCTGGTTAGACGACGTTGAGCATGGCACAGCACCCCAGTTGGCGTTCCCACCGAGCGAGAACATTGGAGTGATGGAACAGTCTGACGTTGACGAGTACGAGAAGAACCATGCCGCGAAAGAGGAGCCAGCCGGTAAAACAACTCTCTGGAAGAGATTGTTCTGGAGCCGTTAGTCCATAGTTAGAATACATTAGTTAGTCATCTCGTCGTCGCCTGCGTTCTTGGTGATCAAAGTAAACTTCCAGGCAGTACTGGCACCGGCGTTTCCGTTCCAGTTCTTGACATTCACCACAGTGTCCTTATCTCTAAGATCAGGCGTACGAAGGCCTGTTTCGAAAACGTGTTCATCGTGCTTTCTCTTCTCCTTGAGAAGCTGCTGTCTGCTGGTCAATGGTCTACCAGGTCTTCTGTTCTTGTCGATCTCAGCAAGCTCTTCGTCGTCACGAATCACCCACTGTCTGACAATTTCTCTAATCTCGTGCAAATCAAACGTTTCCTGTGGGTTTTCTTGAATGCTTTCTTGGATGTGCAAATAGAAGAGAAGCTCGTGGTTCTTCTGCTCCATGTGTCTCTGCTTCTTGGCCTTGATCTTGGCCTCTCTCTCGGTGGCTCTACCGAGCTGTTTAAACTTTCTGCCTTTAGCATGAAGAGTAGCCGAGGATCCAGCGATCTTCTTACTGACTTTGTTGAGTGATTTAGCAAGAGGCATGGTGGTGATGAGCTGAGAATGCAGGCGATGAGGTGCGCAGAGACATCAGGGTGGTCCTCAGAGGTTGGAGGGTTAAAAAAAAGAAAAAAAACAAGCAGAATTAAAATGAACTAAACAAAAAGATATGAGAATTTGGTCGATGCTGGCGTTCTTTCGGGCTGGTTTAAAGATGATAAAGGTGTCCATCAACTAGGCTCTCGAGAGGCCTAGGAGTGCAATGGTTGCAAAATGCGGTGACAAGAGTGAAGAGGTGCAAGCAGGTGGGCCCCTGAAAATGGCGTTCAGCTTTTTTTCATGCTTTAAAAGCCAACAGCAAACTTAATGAAATTCGTGTGACAGGCCAAGCACAAGGAATTATCATAAACCGTACTAGATTGAAGTACGTACTATCTCGGACTTCCATGTTGTCAGGGTACTTCGGGTAGTCCATACATCGATAATATGTGAATGGCTTTGGAATAGGTCAATTACCATCATTTGCAATTTGTAGTTTTCAAAAAGTAGTGATTGTGCCCCCTCTAGAGAACACTACTCTGATGGATATTTCGCAACCAGTCTCGAGAAACACCCTTTCTTGACATAACCCCTAAAAACCCCAAAATTACAAACACAAAACTACATTATCCGCCCACGGAACAAAACCAACAAGCAAACCCTATGAATCCTCTCCTTCCCCTAGACCCCACCGGTCACTATCACTTATCCTTGTAGACCCCCTCGGTCATGCACCATAATCACCACACGCCAACTCCCAAACAACATCAACAAAACTCTCCCATTTTGCTCAAACCAAAATAAACATACTAATTATCTCTTCTTCGCCATCTATATCACCCTTGGCTTCCCACTCCATCCATCATATACACCCCGCTTATGCTCACACGAGTGAACAAGACGACCCCACCCTAGGCCTCCCACCGCCCTTCAATTGACAATTCAAACCTACGATTTCAGCCTCTCCAATTGACTCAATTTCAAAAATCCACCTCCCCAGACTCCTCCACCCACTGGACCCTAACCCGACTATGCTCGTTCTATCCGCGCAAAAATTTTCTCCACAGTCAACTACAACACATCCATCATGGCCAAGTACTCAGAGGAACAGTTGCTCGAAGCCAAGGAGCTCGCATACACGCCCAAGCCGGAGATCTTGGAGGCTTTCAACGACTTGGTGGAGCTGGTGAGGGAACACTTTGCCGCCGAGAAGAGAGCCAGACAGACCAACGGTGACACTTACATTGACGAACGCGGAAACGAACGTTCTTACAACCACTTGAACAGAAGAAGATTGCTGAGACTGGGCCAGCCAAAGCCCAACTTGCGTAAGAAGGCCGCCGAGGTTGTGGATGAGGACGGATGGGCCACTTACACCAAGCCTAAAAAGTCGTTTGGTGACGATGCTACTGACGAGAGAGACAAGTTCAGAGAGCTGTTGAAGGACACGGCGGTGAAGGTGAGACCCAACAACAAGAACTTGGGCTCGTCCAAGGCCGTGGACCCTCGGGACACAATCGCCGACAAACAGACTAATACCTTCAATGCTTTTGAAGCGCTTGGCGACGACGACGAGTAGGAATATGACGCTCATGACAGAACTAGTGTAGGCCTGTGCGGCAAAGAGAATGTAGAGAAGTTGGCAGGGAGACAGATAAATATATTAAACCACAATGTCCTTGTCCTCCTCACTCAGGAGCGACTTGAGAATCAGCCTCATATCGGTAGCAGGTGCATTTTTTTGAAGCACAGAACGGGGCGTGCTGTTTTGCTGGAACAGGAAACGGTCCTCTGGCGTTTGCCCGTTCACAGTGTTTTTGAGGTCCGACACCTTCGGGAGCAACGAGTACCGGTAGTTGTTCGTGTGCTGTAGGTTGAACAGGTTGTTCAGGTTGAGAGTTTCCTGGGCCAGCGAGTCTCCGTGGCCATTGCCCTTGGCATGACCGTTGGCAAGACCAGAGTGGATAGACGAAATGTCATTGGCGCTTCCAAGACCAAAGCTCAGACCGTTACCGTTTGCCAGGTCAACCTTTTCACGAGCATCCTGGAAACGGTCGGTTTCCTCCGTCTTGGGTGTCTTGCTGTTGGCACGAGAGTCGTGGTCGTAGTGGATCTTGCTCACATCGAGCGACACAGACTTTTGTGGGTTGATGTAGGCGCTAACCGAGGTGGTAGCGAAGAACTCGTAGATCAAGTCCTGGGTTACTCTAGTCTTGAACGTGCCGCCGCTTGACAAGGCCGTCTGTCTATCGTTGATGTCCTGCGAGAGGGCATCCCACAAGCTCAGCTTGGTGAGGTCGGTTTCCAACAAGTCTGCGTACTTCTCGTTGAGAACTTCCACCAGGGATTTCAACAACAGGTAGGCGAACTTGTCCTTCTCAACCTCCACAGACGAGCCGGTGCCATCGATAAGCTGCCAGTACAGGAACAAGGGAATGAAATTGTGCACAAAGTTGATGCCAGTGACATTGAGCAACGTCTGCAAGGTCCTCAAAAGCGATTTGGAAACGGATGGGCTGCTAGGAGATGCGAGGTATTCGTTGGTGTGAACGAGGATGTTGTTGAGGAAGTTTTGCGAATGGCTAATGTACTCGTTGTAGTCTGGAACCAAGAAACGTTCTGGTCCCTCGGCCAGGTTACTCTCGGAGTAGACAATCTTTGGCAGGGCTTTTCTGGGCGAAGCTTTTCCACCAGTCTTGAGGAACTCGATTTCCAAGAATTCATGGAACACCTGCAAGAACTTGGCCTCAAGAGAAGCCTTTTGTTCGGTGGAAGCCTCCAGGGCAAACTCTTCGTAGCTCTTGTCAATGGTCAACAATTGCAATCCCAAGTCCCAGTTCTCCAAAGTGGCCTCGTTTCTGGTGATGGAGCTCGACTTGCGAGTCAACAAGTTCATCACCTTGGAAATGTTGTCGAGCAACACGATAACCAACTCCTGGACACGGCTCGTCTTATGCGAGTCGGCATGGAGCATCACAGAGTCAACTTGCATCAAGATACCCTCGATCGAGTCCTGGACCTGGTCAAAGTAGTAGATATGGCTGGAAAGGTTGCACACACACTGAGTGTAGATCTTGCTCAAGTCCTTGATCTCAGCAGCATCCAAGTAGTCGGCCAACAGCAAGTGCAAGTTTGTCTGCAACGTGAGCAACTGCTGGATCACGTCAGAGATGGAGAGGCCAATCATGTTGAAGTTGGAGGAAACAAGACCCAAGAGGGACTTTGCCGTGTGGGACAAAACGCGGTAGTTTTTGGAGCTATCGTCGGTCTTATCCGAAGCAGCGCTCAAGCGGTGCAAGAGCGTCAGCAAAGCGATGAAACGTAATTGGACGGGGATCCACGAGGCGCACATTTCCAAGAAAGTGATGCCCCAATTGTCAACGTCGGTCTGGGAGGAGTTGGCAGAGTTGAAGTCCACCACCTCGTTGGTGGCCTCAGAGATCTGGTTGGAGAGGGAGGTGTTGAAAAGAGCCTTGAGAGCCGCCAATGCCTCCTCGTTAAGGTCCAGATCGGAAACAGCGTCGGCCTCGAAATGCTCCTCGATTTCACGAGCCTGGGCTGCCGTACGGGCGGTCACGGTCTTGTTCAAGCTGTGCAACTTGTCGTCCTCGACGTTCAAGTTACTGTTCAAGCGAGCAAGCAAGGTGCCTTGGTTAGCATTGGAGAGCACCGTTTCGGCCAACAAGGGCACGCATTTGGAGACGAACTTGCGCAGCAAGCGGGAGTTGAAGCCCAAGCAGTTGAAGACGTGTTTGGAGGTGGAGAGCGCCACGAGGCGCCATTCGGCCTTGTTGGTGGTGGAGCCGCTCAGCTGGTTGACACCTGTGGTGATGAAGGAATCGGTGAAGCGGGTGAAGGACTCCACAAACAGCTTGTCACCGGTGAAAAGGCCGCCGTCAAGCTTGGAGCAAAGCACGCCGTAGGTGGACACAAGCAGCTTGCACAAGGGCAACTCTTTCACCAGGAGCATGGTGTTCAAAATCGACACCACCTGGGCGGCAAACGCGTTCAAATTGTCGGCACATTTTTCAATCAAGGCCAGCACGATGCCCAAGGTGACCTGCAAATTGCCCGACTTGGAGCCCTTGACGTCCCGTTTCGTCTTGGCCTCCAAAAAGTCCACCACCTTCACCAACTTGATACGACGAGTCAGCGCATAGTACAAAAGGTAGCTGAGCTCGGAAGGGTTGGGTTTCTTATCGGTAAGCTTCCCAGGCGGGTAGCACTGGAGAATGAGCTTTTGGTGCTTGTGCTGAGGAACAATACGCATAGCCTAGGGGAAGTTTATCGGCGGAAGTTCCCCAGTTTTTAACGATGGTGTTGGCGGTCGGGGCCTGCAGACAAGTGGGGGGTGTACTCGCTCTCACATGGGGCCCCAAACGGGAAACCACGGGCCAGTGACAATAGCCGAAGGGCTTGATAATGGGTGGTATTTCCCAGGATAAAATGTACAAGAATGTGGTTCGAAGCGAGAGGACCGCCATTGAGGTGCCCGCACGGGGAGAGCTTTTACGGATTAGGAAAGAGGTCGTGGAAGCGAGGTGTGAAGGTGAGTCTGTGAGGGTCCATGAAAATTGTTGATGTGCCAAGTGAGCATGAGGATGGGCGAGTGGAGGTGATCAGTGGATTTATTATGTCTTTTTGCATGCCGCTTTTGAAAAAAAACTCAATTTCTGCCATTTTGTGTATTGGGATTTTCTGCTGAAATTGCAGCCCAGCCCGTTCTCCTCTTTGCCCCTCAGGTTCTCTTGCTGAGTGGTGGCTTGAGAGAAGGGCTTTTTGTTGGTTCCACGGGAAGTCCAGCCGTATCCGCCGTTTCCAGAAGAACCCTGACGAGGCAGTTTTTAAGTTTTTTCATTTTCTTCATTTTCTTAGTTTTTGTTCTTTTTGCTCTGCCTTGCACTAGATGCCCTAGATCATGGATGGCTGCAACTACTGGCCATGGCCGTCGGCAGATTCAGACAGGAACAATGCCAGAGTGACAGAATGCTGAAATCGAGGCTTCAAAAATAGATGACGATTTTTCATCTGTATTGTGTTTCTGCCGTTCATTGGTGGGGTTCTGCGGAACCGGCCAAAGTGACTCCCCTCCGGGACCCTCCCACAGAAACCGACATCTCAGGAGATCGCCATGTCAAGATCGGAAAGATCGAGATTTAGCAACTCGATAAAGATTGGCTTTTTTCTTAAAAGAGCAAGTGGCGGCTCGGTTAGGCGACACGCTTAAGGCCGCCGGCATGGCGTGATTAGTGCCGGTGGAGCTTCGTGGAGAACGTATATGATAGTACAAACAATGCAAAGGAGGGTGCGACAGAACCCTTAAAGCTTGACCCAGAACCGGGTGATAAGGCACACACAGCCGGTTCGTAAGACTTGCTGCTGCAGACCCGTTGTAGTGTAGTGGCCGGTTGTGACAGTCTATTGTGCCGTTAGTGCCGAGCCGGATGAGCCTCAGGACAGGCCTCAACGGCACCACGGCTGGTATTTCGCAAATTCCCTAGAGGCAATTTCTTATCAACGAAATGCCGGCTTTAACCGCCGGGTGCCGACTAGAACCGTCCACCACGGCCGTAGCGTCGCGTTTGCAGCCATCACTGCGGGACCAGTCGTCTTCAACGACACTTCTATCAAAAACCAAATACCCGCTTGTCAGCCAGCAGAACCTGCTCCTGGCTTCCTGTAGGCGGCCGTCATGTCCGTGGTGAAAGGTCCAGGTACCGTAGCTTCAAGCAGTACGGACACATCATATGGCGGCATCGCAGACAAGTAAAGCGAGACGCGGGCTCTACAACCACAGGGTGGTTGTCAAAATAGCCGTTTACTTCGTGGGGCTTGCACTCGCCCAATGCTTCAGATCGTAGAGTCCCGTAGGCCTTGCCGCAGTCACAACAGTACCACTGGCATATCCTTGTATCGGGCGCCGCCGGCGGCGGTTGGGCATGCGTTCGAAGCTTCACGTTGTTCATGGGAGTATATTCAAAAACTGTTTGTGGCACGGTGGAGGAGGAAACGGCGTGGGGATGGGGGAAAGGGTGAGCCCGAGGCGTCGAGGTGGGTAGACAGTCGACGGAGCGAGCTCGTGTGTATTCTGCAGCTGTAATCAACGCTGACGGGGGAGGCTCTGGGAACGGAGAGCCTTTTGATGCTGGAATTGCGGTTTGGGTGGCGGTTGTGAGAGGGAGGTATTTGCCTGATGAGCCTGAGCCTGGAGATGCTTGGGAGAAACGGCTGGACTGGTGGCTGGTGGGGTCGATGAGGCTGGAGGCCGACTTCAGTTTTGGCGGTGGAAGCAAGAGGCCGTGGATTGCAAGACTTTCTTTGAAGTTTCAAGGGGTGGACTTCTTTTTTTTTTTTCTACCGTTGAGAACCCCAGCTTCGGCGGCATCGCTGCTTTATACGATCTTTCGGTTGCCCCCGCTGCCATTCTAGACCCGCGAGCAGCGCAAAGCCCAGGCCCACCGGTTATTCCGGCGCACACGAACGAAACAGCAGAAAAAAATTCAACATGGCTTAAACCAAGCGGGCTTCCTTGTGCACAATGCAACTTGCAACAAAAAACCATCCCTTTTCTTTCGATCTGTCCCGACAAACGGCCGTTTCGTCCGTCCAGAGCCGTCGTTTTTGGCTGCGAATTTGGTCTAGCCCGCGCGGGACCAAGCGCCCGGCGCGATACCCACAGGCAGGCCGCCTCAGGCAGGGCCCCAACGCCAGGAACAATTGGGCAACAAAAAACGATCTGGTGCTTGGGCCGTTTGAGATTTTCCTGGCACGTTTTTGGGAAAATTGGCGTGACGTGCTGCCTAATCAGAAAAATTAAAAAAAGTGTGGTGGGCCTAATTTTTTGGCCCGGCCTTTTGCTGCTTTTTTTCTTTTCTTTTTCCTTTTAGACACCGCCTGACGTGGTTCTCGAAGCTTACTCTTTGTTGGCCATTGTCTCGGGCCTGTCCCTTGGCAGCCAAGCACAGAAATCGAGACAAACGCTCCAGCCCTGCTTCTGCGGATATCCCACATTTCCATCCGCTTCCGAACCATGCGGCCTCCTCTTTTTTTCGATCCTTTGACACCCTCTTTTTTTTGTTCCCTCGTTTTGACACTTTCATGGATTTACATCCTCTTCACGTAGTTACTCCCGTCGGCGATCGGCCTGCCAAATAAATCACCTCGTCAAACAATATCCGGCTTAGAACGGTTACGACCCCCTGCCTCTGCACCCCTGCCGCTCTAGAAACATCCAACCACTCAACCGCCCACCCAATTGTCTCTGCAAGCCTCCTGACCCAGATCAGGCGGCGCCTCAGCATTTAGTCGAGCGAATCGTCCTTCCCTCCATTGTCACGAGATCATCGTCTATTTTTCTTCCTCCCAGATGGGCCTCCTTGCATGATCAGCAAACTCCGGTTAAGCACAATGTGCTACTCGGCAGCACCCACCAACTAGACCACGATAACACAGCAAATTAAATTTTGTGGATCAGCCCCCTTGGTCTCGATAAGCGGGGGTGCTTAAACCTTACTGGCCCCAAGTAGCCTGCTGCAATGTACTTGACGAGGGGCCCGATCTATCTCGTACTCTATTTCTCGGTTGATCTCTCTGTACACTAGCCCCAGTTTCTCCGAAAGCCTAATCCCATTTAGCTCTCAAACCGCCTTGCAGAAGTCACCATCAAGAAAATTATCACCAAAAAAACTCCAAACCATCACTTAAACCTAAAAGTCTCCGCTCAATCTCCTCTCAACCTCCTCTCAATCTTGGCTTTTGGGCTTCTTGGTCACTTGAGTCAAATGCTTGATCTCCCGGAAACAGCTCGCTGGAACCATCCCCCGCTCGTCTCCCCTCGTAAGGATTACGCCATTTGCCGAACGAAAAAACTCTAGCCCCTGCTCCTTGCACTTGTCGAGGTCCAAGTAGATCAAAACCGTGCATGTCTTTCTGATCCCCAGTTGACTCCACTCGGCGTCCGAGGTAAAATGAATGTGGTTGCGTTTCATCCGCAGAAGCCCCCCGCTGCTGTTGATAGCTTCGAGTTTGTTGGCAAAGGTTCCGTGGTACACGTTTTCAGGCATATCTCCGTACAATAGCGGCTGGAGATTTTCTTCTGTCACCAGGTCTAAGGAGTGGCCCTGGTTAGCGCAGATGTACTGTTTTCCGCCGGCTCGGGTCTCAATGGTGAACCGTTTCTTGTCGTTTTCCGCCACTACCTTCTCGACCTCTTCCACAGTGGCACGGTGTGTTTTGATTCGAGGATGATTGAGGATCGTGGTGAGCTCCACATAGCCACGGGAGTCGATTGGGAGTTTTTCTTTGACTGCGCCGTGTCGGAGAAGGTACAGCAACGCTTTGGATATGAGTACTTCTCGGGGTGCCATAGATGGAGTAGGTGCGGTAGTTGATGTGAAATTCGCAGCCGTTTGGGGTTGATGGGGTTCAAGCGGCAACGGCGCAGGATGGGGTGAAAAAGGGAACGGTTTTTGATTTTTCGTTGAGGGTTGGGTTTTGTGGGATTTGGGGGGCTTTCTTGTTTTTTGGCTTATGGTGTGTTGTTCTGGGTGCTTAATGTGTGGAGCGGTCTACTGAGGATTCATCGCTAGATGTGTGAGATTGAGTCATGGGGGTTGATCTGGGGCCGGTGAACAAAATGACGTAAGAGGTGAAAGTGGAATTGCAAACTGGGCTAGATATTAATGGGAGGGTTTGGGCTGAAAATTGGCCTCTTCACGTTACATTAAGCAAAGCGGCCTTACAGATACACATTGTCATCTGCCCATAGTGACAATATCCATAATGATTTTGATGACGCACGGAGTCACCGCTTCATGTCAAATCTTGCAATCGTCTCCCCATTCAACTAAGTATGGTATCTACCAGAATCTGATCATTCTCGCAAGTCAATGGACTAAGATACCGAAGACAAGATTATGGTCCATCCGTTCGTATCTTCCACCACTTTAAGTATTGAACTCATTTGAGCTACGATGCGGATGAAATCAAACTTCATGACACAATGTAACAGACTAATTCCCCCAGTCTTGAAGTCATATCATCCTCTCCAATCCCCTCCATAACTAATCCCATCCACTACATCAGAACACCTTCCGAAACCCTTTCCTTTCTATTTACAAATTATTTGTTGTCGCTGCAACGTCTAACCTTGGCGCCAGCCAAAGAGCCCATGTTGGCTCGGTTGTTCTGCTTGATGGTAGCGTTGTCGCCCAACTCAGTGTCCTTGTGGAACTTGAGGTAGTAGCGGTCTTTCTCCTGCTCCTCAGCCTG